CGAGCTGAGCTGCGGCTGCCGTCACAGAAGGCCACAGACCAGGCGGCTTCGACCACAGGAATTTATTTCTCACGGTTCTGGAGGCTGGGGAGGCCCGGGTCGGGTACCAGCACCGCTGAGTTCTGAGGAGCAGCTCTATTTTACTAGCCTCTCCCTGCGGCCTCGCATGGTGGAGAGAGAGACCTCTCTCCGTGTCTCTTCTCATAAAGGCACTAATCCCATCGTGGGGGCTCCACCCGCATGATCTAATCACCTCCCAAAGAGCCCCTCTAAATACCGTCCCACTGAGGCTTAGGGCTTTAACATGAGTTTGGGGGACGCACACAACCCGTTCACAGCAAGCCCTTAGCTGGGGGTCCGTGCTCCATAAGTGTTACCACTTGACTGTTATGGTTCTGAATGTCACCAAGATGAAAATTGAAAATAAGAGAAGACTCAGTGAATGCAGCATCACTGGTTCCAACTCTCAGCTTACTGGGAGCTGCCCAACAAAGGGGCTGATTCTCTCATCTGAGATAAGAATGGGCGGTAGGGGTGGAGGACTCCCCACCATGTGCTTGAGGCTCAGTCATTCATTCTATCAATAAATATTTAAGAAAGGCCCACTGTGTGCCAGGTCACGGTTTATAACCAACTCCAAAGCCTGGAAAATTCCACTTTTCTGGGCTCCCTGGGCCCCTTCCTCAGGCCCTGTCCTTCCCTACTTGGCTGCGGTTTCCATGGTGATGGTCAGAGCCTCCTTCTATTGCTAAGGACAGATCAACAATGGGGGCGGGGGGAGGTTTGCGGAGGAGCAAGCCACGTGGGTTGACTAATCTCATTGAGAGGCTGTGGTGGCCTTGGGAGGGGGATTCACAATCTTGAGACTGCAAGACTTGGGACTGCAATCTCAAGTCTCAAGGTTGCGGACTTGAGAAGAGGCTCAAGTCTGCAATCACCCCATAGCGGTCTCTGCACATCTTTGGGTGCCTTTAAGTGGGGGTTTGCAGAAGAACAAAAACACTTGTGTGAGGTCTCTGAAGAGTCAGTTAGAGATCATGCATCTCCTGCAGCCTCCAGTGATAAACAGCGTCATCTACCCTCAGAATTCATCAGGCTGTTCCATAAATATTGATGGAGCCTTCTGTGCCAAGCCCTCGTCTGTGGCCACAGCCTCTGCTCCCCTGTGCTTTGTTCTGGTGGGAGACAGATTCATTCACTCCAAAAGTTTGGTCCTTTATTTAACAAAGATGTTGAGGATCTTCTGGGAGGCAGGTGTCACACTAGATTCGGAGAAATGGCGGGGAATGAGTTGAGCCAGCCCCCATGCTCATTAAGGCTGCGTTGGTGCAGGAGACACACAGCGAACCCAAGCATTAATGTAGCATCACGGTGGGCTCCGCCTGTGGAGGAAAATAAAGCAGGGAGCTGGAAGATGTTAATACGCAGGAGAAGGACTGTTTCAGATGTGTGCTAAGGAAGTGGCAATATCTGAGCAAAAAGCCCAACGAGGGGCAAGTAAACATGAGATTCTCTAGGTGAAGAGAGGTCTTGGCAGAGGGAAGAGCATGTACAAATTTCCTGAGGCGGCAACCTGCAGGTGCACAGAATCCATGGCGACCACTGAGGGACGGAGGGACTGTGAGGAGGAAGGTCCAGGTGGCAGCCAGGTTACGCAAGTCCTCACAAAATCAAATAAAATACGAATTTTGAATTTTATTAACAAATTATTAATATCGATCCCAGTATTATTACTTGAGTCCCCACTACGAGGATTTGGCACTGCTGCAGCAAAGCAGACACGCTGCCTGCCTCCCCGGAGCTCACGGTTATGAGGAGACACCCAGATGAATCAGATCAGGGAAAAGTAAGCACCTCTCGAGAACGTCAAATCTGCATTCAGCGCCTTCTCCCTGCTGTGCTGGGCATCCGCAGATGAGCAAGACAAGCACGGGTGTGCAGCTTGCACTAGGGTGATGGTGATGGAAATAGAGTGAACATACTTTTTGGGGGATGGCGTTGTCATTTCCTGAGCCAAAGAAAGATCAATGGCTTCAGAGAAATGAATGAGCAGAAATGGACAATTGTACTATCTAAAATGATGGACCAGGCACAGTTGTAAATTCCTTACAGTAAATTCTCTCAATAACCCTATAAGGTGGATGATATTATTCCCTAGTTTTGACATGAGCACACTGAGGCACAGAACTTGGACCATCTGTCCCACATTGTGCAGCTAGTAAATGGCAGGGCTGGGATTTGATGGCTCCCAGAGCCCAAGCTCTAACCTGGTCAGGATGCTCTTTGCAACCGCGTTACCATCCAAAGCCAGAAATCTGTGCATACAGTGTGTCTACACAAACAAGTTGGCACAAACCTCAGTGTGAGAAGACAGTGTGCTCAGGTGGTGAGGAGATGCCTCCTCCAAAGGAAGCAACCGGCAGGAGGCGGTTACCGGCGTCAGAAGAAAACCTGTGACAAGTGGAATCTTCCTTTTGAGGGAAAGTTCTCTAAAGTGATCCCATTGTAGCTGGTCCGATAACCACCCTTTGTCAAACTCCAGTTTACAAGATGCTGGACCACGTGTTGAATGTTGTTTGCATTATCCTACAAGGTAGGACCAATTAACATGGTGATTTTATAAATAAGCAAGTCAATGAATAAAGGGCTCAGAAAGATAGAAACACCTGCCCAAGAACCTACATTTTTTAATATTTATTTTTTAAATCGTGGTAAAATGCACGTAACGTAAAATTTACCACCTTAACCATTTTAAGTGTACCGTTCAGTAGCATTAAGTACATTCATATTGTTGTGCAGCCATCACCACCTCCATCCATGGAACTCTTTTCAGTTTGCAAAACCGAAACTCTGTACCTGATAAAGAGTGACTCTCTGTTTCCCCTCCCCCAGCCCTTGGCAACCACCGTTTACTTTCCGTGCCCATGAATTTGACTACTCCAGGCGCCTCATATAAATGGAGTCATGCAGTATTTGTCCTTTTGTGATTGGCTTATTTCACTTAGCATAATATCTTCAGGTTCATCCATGTTGTAGCATTGTCAGAATTTTCTTCCTTTTTAAGGCTGAATAATATTCCACACTTTGTTTATCCATTTGTCTATCGATGGACAGTTGGGCTGCTTATTCCATTCAGCTATTGCGAATCCTGCTGCTGTGAACATTAAGCACACAAGCATCTCTGCAAGTCCCTGCTTTCATTTCTTTTGGGTGTATTCCCAGAAAAGGAATTGTTGAGTTATAAGGTAATTCTACGTTTAATTTTTTGAGGAACGGCCACACTATCCTCCATAGCAGCTGCACCATTTTACACTCCCACCAGTAGTGCAAAAGGGAAGAACCCAGATTTTTATTTATTCGCAAATAGTGAATGAGAGACTAGAGGATTCTAGGCTGGAATTTTAAACATACACTCAGTATGTTTGATACAAGATTCCAGAATATTCCATCCTCTGAGGGTCTCTCTGCTGATTTTCAGCCACCTCCTCTTCTTCTTCGTCCTAACAGAAGTTTCCATGGTAACAGATTGAGTTTGCCTGCGTTGCTAAGGAACCAAAGAGCCCTGAGGAGGGAATGGCTGGCGTGACTGAGGTCCAGCCGGCCTGGGTGAGGGATGGGGAGACCTGGGGAGGATCTCAGCCTGCAGTCTCCCCACCACTGGTTCACCCACCCCCTCCGTGCTTGCCGTTTGACAGTGTCTTTGCAAAAGGGCAAAAAATGGACTCTGGGCCTCATAGCATCTAGAAAGCCCCACATTTTCACATCAGCAGGGCCAGTGGCATAAATATTGAGTATTCTCATCACATTTTCATCCATTCTTTCACTTATTCATTCAACAAATATTTATTGAATGCCTACTATGTTAAGTCAATGTGCCAGACCTTGGGAACGTAATGGTGAGAAAAAAGACATGATGTTGAAGGAAAGCAGAATATGCTACTCCAAAATATGGCTGTAGGAGTTCAGAACGTGCTACTCCAGATAATGCCAGTGTGGTATATTAATTATTTTGAGCTGTAAACACTTGAAAAACAGCAAATGCAGGCAGAGGCTTTCTCTGCACTCCCCTCATCTGCCTAAAGACAGATCCTCCAAAAGGAGCTCAATTGTCACAAGTCCCCTCCCTGGGGATTTTCATCCATCAGAGAAGATCGAATCTTATCACAAGAGGGGAGACTAGAAGTGGACACCATACCTGGATACACTTTGTCACAAAGTGCCACATCTCCTGTCTATCGTTCTAAGGACCTATTCCTCTTTCCTAAAAATCGTTTACTCTCCCTTAAGCTGTCTTCATCCCCCCTTCCCCTATTAAGATGGTATTTAAGCCTGAGTTCTAAACCACTTCTTCGAGTTACTCATTTTCCCCTAGGTATCCTCTGTGTATACATAAGGTAACATGTTAATAAGCTTTTAGGGCCAGTTTGGAGATGCTTCCATTCCATCATTTATCCTACAAATATTCACTGTGGGTCCACCTTGTGCCAGACACTATGCTAGAGAGAAGAGAGAGAAACAGAACCCCTCCCAGAGCTGGCAGTGGTGGGGTGGAGTCCATCTTAAAGTGACCAGTGACTCTGGGGCTTTTTACTTTTTATTAAAATGCATCCTTGAACTGTCCTACATCTTGATTGTGGGGTTGATTACAGGTGCATGCATTTGTCAAAATCCATTAGTCATATGCTGACAATGGGTGCATTTTGTTTTATGTAAACTGTACGTCAATAAGTTGATTTTTTAAAAAAAATACATTTTGGGGCAGGGTCAAAAATGTACTATTTGGGTCTCTGTAGACTCCTAAAGAAATCACAAGTGTCAAAAAGAGCCACTGTTGTGAGCATTATCTGTTGTGTCCATTCACCCGCTGACTCGTGATGAGGGCCTGTGTGTGCCCCATAGCTGGAAGCAGATAGACATTGCCGTGGCGCGTGGGTTACCACGTGAGACAATTAGTAATATTATGATGCCAGGGGAGGTAAGGGCTTTGGAGAAAAGGAGAATAAAGATTGAAAGGGAGGGGGCTGGTCTAGATCTGATGGTCAGAGGCAGTGGTATTTGAGCCAAGATCTGCATGGAGGAGGGAATAAGTCCAGGGAATATCTTGGGAAGATCAGAGTAAAGGTCTTAGCAGGTCAGTGGGTAGTGGGCGGGTGTTGGAAAATGTTCTCATTTGTACTCATGGGAATTTAATTTATGTGGGTCACTGAGGGACTATAGAGAGGTTAATACCATTGAAAGATTTTTATTACTTACATTCCCAAAAGAAGAGGGCAAGCCAGACAGGGCCACAGAGGAAGCACCAGGGTGGACAGGAGGCAGGAGACAGGAAGGAGGGGAAAGTCTAGGCCGGATGCTTTCTTGGGGCTTCCACGGGAAAGGCAGGGGAGGGTGGACAGTTTAGGGTTGGCTAATTTGAATAATTCCGGTGGGTTTTGGCTGTAGGGATGGCCCTGTGATGATTTACGGCAGGAAGATTAGGGGTTTGGTGTGAGAGAGTCTGATAAAGGAGATGGTTTGGGCTATAGGCTCAGGATGGGCTGGTTTGCAAATGAAAGACTTGCTTGCAGGCAAGTTGCTATCTTCAGGCATTAGGTAGCTCTGGGAGGGGCAGTCTCCCCCTGGGTCTGTCAGTCCCTCCCCCTCCCACCAAGAGATGTCAAAACACGGTAAGACACTGAAAATAAAAACGCAATTAATACAAGCGGGCAGACAGGTGGATGGATGGGTGGGCGGGCGAGCGAGAGGATGAGTGGATGGTAATTGGGAGGATGGATAAATCCAAATGCTGACTATATAGATTTCCACCCCCAAAATGAGAAGAAAATTTTCCGAGTACAGGTAGAAATGAGGTGTGTGAGTCCCCTCCCCGACTCACAGGGTCACTCCTTGAGGCACAGTTACTTCTCTAGTCACATTTATTAAGTCTCTACTGTATGCTAGACCATGATTATTAAATCACACACAATCTTTACCCAAATCATGGAACATTCCAGTCTCCAAGGCTTTCTGGATCCCTCCTCAGTCCCCTTCAGCCCCCCAACTCCAGCTGCAGTTTCCATGGCAACAGCCTCCCCCAATCACCATTCAAGGAAAACAGGCTAGATTATCCCATTTCCAGCCAGGGTCCCAGGGCGGGGGTGGGAGGATTATCATAAACTCTCAGGCTGGTGGCCAAACAGCAGTGGTTCAAGTAAATCTTTAATGCACATTAAAATGCAAAGGAATATTGCAGAATGGTGAGGGAGGGAGGAATGGCCACCCTGGCTTTGCAGACTTTGTTTTTTAGGAACCACTAATCAACTGTAAGGCCCTGCAGCATTAACATTACTGGTCTCATCACACACTCATTGAGTCAGTCAATAAATACTGACTGGGTCCGTTGTGTGCCAGGCACTGTCCTATCCTAGACGTAGGTGTTACTGCACCAGGTTTGTTTTTGCCTGCTGCCCAGAAAGCCAAACACCCAGACAATGAGATTGCAACAGAGAGAGAGTTTAATCACAAGGCAGCCACGTGAGGAAGCAAGAGAATGTCTCAAATCCACTTCCCTGAAAATGGGGGCTCAGGGATATTTATGGGATTGGGGCAAAGTGGTCTGAAATGTGGAGGTAGGTGATTAGAGGTGACGGGACGTGAGGTAATTGATGACCTGTGCCAGCATAGTCAGACTTCATGCCTCTTCACAGGACCCATGCTCACAAAATGGCAGCGTCAACACGATCTGAGGGTGGAGTTTTTAGCCTCTTGACATCAAAAGGTCGCTTATCAGACATATGCAAGGGCCCAGTTGATGAGTTGGTGGTCTCAACTGCCCTGGAGCGGACAAAGGGGTTCTAATTGCTGAAAAACACCTTAATCACCCATTACCATGGTGACCTAGGCTCCAGGGAGATGTCATCTATAGGAGGCTAGTGGGAGTCAGGTAGTACATTGCCTAAGCAGCACAGTTAACAATGGGCGGGTTAAACAGCTAAAAGCTATAATCAATAATTGCAAAAAGGAAAAAAAATCTTTAGTTCCTAGCTACTTAACCATCAATGGCTAACTGTTTGCCGGTTTCAATCCCCCATTCTCTGGTCATTCCTCATTCTCAAGGGATTCTGGGTGATGGCCGATCTAGCTACTTCCTGCTGAATTGGGGTGTAGATCTCGGTTAGAGGAAGGAAACTGTTTAGCACTTGTTTGGAAATATTCTCTTATTCCCGTCTTCAGGTTGACATTTTGCATTATTAGAATTTTATGCTTGCTCAACAGTTTTGGAACAACATCTAAAGGTATATTATATAGTCAAATATCTGACCAGAAGGATAAGAAGTATAGACAACCCAAATTTTAACAGTCCCTGAAAAATAGACCTAATCCCAGTGAGCCTCCATCCAGGCAGACCTCTGGTCTTAGTTCCTGATAGTCCTTTGTTTGACCAGATATGCATCAGAGAACAGAGCAATACCCTTTCAGTTGTCCTTGATGATGGTATCAGCCTAGACTCTCTGCCCAGGGGTCATCACAGTCCTAAGGAGCTCAAAAGACTAAGTTGTCAATTTATTGCAGCTGGGAGGGACCATGAAATCTTCAGAACATGTCTGAGTTAGTTAATCAAAGGTCATTCAAAGTTACAACATGGTTCCTTTTTTACAATATGGCTTCCCTTATGTCAGTCTTGTGTTGAGCCAGTATCATAGGGACTAAAAAGGGAAGCAAAACCAGGTACCATCTTGACCCTCCTAGGCCTTAGGCAATCTGGAGGGTCGTTCATTCATTTACTCCAAGAAATTCACTTACTCCTTCAACATGTGTTTACGGCTTCCACTACGGGCTAGGTGCTACACACAGGATTTGGTGACTATGGGCCAAGGGCCATGCCTCCTGGAGGCTTCATTCTAGTGGGAGAAATAGAGAAAAAGTCAGGGGGTGAGAAATGTTAGGAACCAAACGAGGGCAGAGGATGGAGGTAGGGAATAACACGGGGGAGGGGAGCAAGCTGTTCTCACTGAGGGAAGGAAACATGTCAGCAGCTGCTGGGGTGGGGTCACAGTGGGGTAGTTGACTGCCCAGGTTCCATCTTTTACCCAATTACACAAGGATGAAACCTGGGTGTAAATTTTGCCTTTCCCCTCCACGCCCCTCCAAACACAGTCACCAAGTCCTGACACTCCTTCCTCCAAAATACCTTCTAGATCAGGCCACGTTGTCCATCTCCTCACCTTCTCTTTTGCCTCCCAGGTGGCCTTCTTCCCTCCCTACGTGTTCTCAAAGGAAAACTTGACCATTTTGCTCCCTGAAAAAAAAATCCATGGATTCCCTTTGGTCACAGGATAAGAACCACTCTGCGCCATATCCTACAGGCAATGGAGGCTGCAAATTTCAGCATGGAAGAAATTTAGAGATGACAGCATTGCTGCGAGAGGAGAGTATGGACGGCAACTTTAAGATACAATCACGTGGATTTCATAGTGGTGACGCAATCATGCCTTTTACAGACAGTGAGCGATACCTAGGAATATGTGTGTGCACACACATAATTCAACTGCAGTGTGACTGAGTAAAATTCTCCTGGTTGCTTCAGAGTTACAATGGGGATGTATTTCAGGTGTTCAGTTCAACAGACATTAATTGAGTGCTTACTGCATGCACGGCACAATGATTGGTATTCACAACCGTGGGCCACAATGAGAGGAGCAGGACTGGGTGCCCTAAAATTAGAAGGAAACCTGATAAGTGTGTTCCAGAGATGCCATCTGCCAAAAAAGACTGTTAACATTTGACACCTTTTAATATATTGGAAATGAGTGTCTCAAAATCATTAGCTATGTTGAGTTGCTTCCAAGAAAACTGTTAAATCCCTTTGATTGATGGTACGGTACATAAAGCTCTGAGTGCAATTGGGCGTTTAGCTCACGAATCAGGAGAACCTTTGGAAGTGGAGGTTGGCCAGCTGACACCTTGAGAGATGCCCCAAAACTGAGACAGTAAGTGTAGTTTCAAGGGTCTCAGTTCGTGATGATTTGTTAGGCAGCGATAGATATCTGAGACATCCATCAATGGAATGGATGAACAATGCCGTTAAAAAGAGGTGCATTTTTGTCCATAGTTAGGGGTCACTGTTAAACTAAAACAATTAGCCAGAAACTGTACTTGACTCGAATTTCAGTGGTACAAAACCTGCTTTTAGAAGTCAACATGCTAAGTGATGCGGGGTCGGTGAGCCAAGGAGTCGAAAGAAAGATTTCTTAGACTCTTAAGATCTGGCAGTAGTGCTCTTTTATTTGGAGAATAGTGTGGAATAGCATGGGGACAGGGCCCATGGGCAGTCAGAGCTGCTGCTGCTGCCCCGAGTTGAGGGTTAGGGCTAATTTTATAAGGCATGGGTATGTGCGTCATCTCTTTACAAGACAAAGGAAAGAACATGAAAAAAAGTTAAAATGGTATCAGTGCAGGTGGGGTCTGGTCATTGGGTGATCCCATGACTTTTAGACAAGAATCAAATCGGATTAAGTAAAGGTTAGAAAGGTTGGAAGCCACCACCCTAAATCAGTTACATGAGATTGCCAGACAGCAACCAACTTAAGTTCTTGCCTTCCCCATTAAGAGTTTCTAGGGACAAGGTCATCTCCCTTCTTCTTCCTGGCACAGAGAGGGAGGCACCTTTTACAGATAGAGATTTACCTTACAAACGTAAATGTGTCCCAACAAGGGCAAGATCCATTCCCCAGAGCCCCCTTCCCTGTCCCAGTTTATCGAAAGCAATCAGCCCAAAACAATCCCGATGCCAAAGAGACATATCCTGGGGTGGCCAATTTCAGGTCCCCACAAGGTCATCCCCCCTTCCTTCACAAATGCAAATATCTCTCAAAGAGCAAGCAAATTCCAGTCCTCAGAGCCTGCTTCTCATCTGCAGTTTTTTAAAATTAACCAGCCTAAAATCTTCATCACTGAGGAGGAGAGTGGTCCTGATTTTGTTCCTTTTCCAAAGGCTTATACTCAAAGAAAATTAAGTGGAGAGACTACCTTAGATGCGAATCTATTTCACAAGCTCCATAGGCAAGTGACAATCTGATGAGGACCCGTGGAGAAAACCAGCCTCCTACAGGCTCTGGTTCTGGGCTGAACACTGTGTGTGTATTACCTTAGTGAGAAAGGAAAGGCAACCATTTTATTGGGGACAAAGACCCATATTTTTATTCATTCATTTATTGCAAAGCAAACACACAGTGTGAGCTCAGAGCCTGGAAAATTCCAGCCTGCAAGGCCCTCTCTGCTCCTTCGCAGACCCCTCCCCTTCCCAATGCCGGCTGCAGTTTCCATGGCAACAGCCTAAACCCAATTCTGATGCAAAACCCCGTAAAGATTCCTGAGGGGAGGTGGAAGAACCACTGATGTCAGACCGACCGGGACGGGGATGGAGAAGACTCCTAAAGATACAGACATCTCACCAGTGGTTCATGCACATTTAAAAACAATTTCTTTTAATTGTGGTAAAATAGACATGTTGTGAAATGTGAAACAAAATGGATTCCCTTAGATCTAAGGGCTTTGAAATGGAGCTGGGAAGCCATGAAGGAAACGGGTCTGGTGCACGTCCTCCTCGGGCAGAACGTGAACTTTTGAACCGAGTAATGCTGCAAGAAACCTGCAGCTCGTCAAAGTCACGGACTTCTGCCTCCCACTAACTAACCTTAGCCATCAATTATGTTTAGCCAAGATTAGCTTTCCGCCGGCAACTCCAATTAACATTCTTTGTAATGCAAACCTCCCTTCCCTGCCTTTAATTGCCTCTGACTTTTACTCCCTGGCAGGATACTATTTGAGTTTCTACCTGAATCTGTGCTCCCCGGATTGCAATTCTTTGAACACAAAATAAACACCTCTCTGCCTCTCATGTTGGCTCTTTGTTTTTAGGCTAAGAATATCGTAAAATTTACTATGTTCACCATCTTTAAGTGTACACTTCAGTGGCATTAAACGCATTCACATTGTTGTGTGACCATCACCACCATCTATCTCCAGAACTTTCTCATCTTCCCAAACTGAAACTCTGTACTCATTAAACACTAACTCCCCATCCTCATGGCCCATCTCCTGGCAACCACCATTCTGCTTTCTGTCTCGATGAATTTGACTGCTCTAGTGACCTCATATGAGTGGAACCATACAGTTGTCCTTTTCTGACTGGCTTATTTCACTGAGCATGATATCCTCAAGGTTCATCCATGTTGTAGCATGTGTCACAATTTCCTTCCTTTTTAAGACTGAATAATATTCCATTGTATTGGGGTACAACATTTTGCTTATCTATTCATCCATCCATGGACACTTGCGTTCCTTCCACCTTTTGGCTCTTGTGAATAGTGCTGCTGTGAACGTGGGTGTACACATACCTCTTTGAGGCGCTGTTTTCAATTCTTTTGGACATATAGCCTGAAGTGGTATTGCTGGATCATATGGCAATTCTATTTTTAATTTTTTGAGGAATCACCACACTGTTTTCCACAGCAGCTGTGCAATTTTACATTCCCACCAGCAATCACGCACAACTTTCACGCCCACCAGACTGCTTGCTTTGATGGAGTCTTTGCAGACGGGCGGGAAGATGGCTCTGGAGCTTCTGCAGATTCTCTGTCATCATGAGTTTTTAGTGAATGCTTGTTGCAGGTGCCAGTGGCATAAATATCATCTGTCTCCTACCATCCAGTCATTCTTCATTCATTTAATCATTTGTTGATACACTCATTCCCTCAACACTATTTGCTGTGTGTCTACAATCTGCTGGGCATTGGAAGTAAAACGAGGAGAAAAAAACAGACCCAGTCTTTGCTTTCACAGAGCTTAAAATACATCAATTCAGTCATTTACTTCATAAGTACCTCCCTAGGGCCCACTCTATGCCAGGCACTGTGTTCAGGACAGAGGATTCCGTGGTGAGCAAAACACACACCAGGGGTGTTGTGGGCTGGACATTAATCTCACAGACCATGTCTCAACAACAGTAGACATTGAGTGGGCATTTACTGAGTGCCAGGAACAATTCCAGACTCCAGGGAGACAGTGGAAAAGAATAACCAAGCACCAGTCTCTGTTTTTGTGGAGTTGACCCTCAGTAAGGTGGGAGACGTTTAAAATATAGAAACAAATCTGTCAGGCTGTGTCAGGCTCCAAGAGACAAGAAATGTAACTCAGTCTGGCTTAAAGAATAAAAGAAATATGTCAGATGTATAGACTGAAAATGGCAGCAAGATAGCAGTCTCCATGCAGTGTTGCATTTACGGTCATTATTTATTAGGCTTTGCAATAACCATGTTTTCTAGTTTTTATTTGCTGCTTTGACATCTTGGAGCCTTGCTGACCGGGAGGAACTGCGGCTCCCAGGGCTAGCCGATGCCTAGAGATAGTGAACAACTCACTTGTGAGTGTGGTCTTCATAGGTAAACCAGCCAATCCAGACCCCATACCCCCACCACCCCTCCATCAGGCTCTTACACTTTGGACCACTATCCATCTGCCCTAATCTCCCCCAGGGCAGATACCTGACAATCAGGGACAGCCGCTATCTCTAGAGCCCACTGAAATTATTCAAATTAGCCAATCCTAAACCTCACCCATTCCTTCCCTTGGAAACCACAGTAAAGGCTCCTCCCCACATTCCTCCCTCCCTTTCTGCCTCCTGGGGACCCTGGTGCTTCCTCATGTGGCCCTGCATGGCATGTCTCCTCCTCTTGGGAACTGTGACTAACCGACTATCTTCTCGATGAACAGCCATCTCCTGATCTGTTGGCCCTACAGTTCCTGAATAACCATAAAATCTATATTTAAAGCAAGATCCAGCTCTGTTTTTTCTCTGCTAAGCAGGAGAAAGCCTGCTTCTTGGTCTTAGACCACTCCTTCCTGTGGGATCCTAATCCTGCCCTCTCCCCAGCTGTCTTCTCAGGACTCTAGTCCTTTTTTTTTCTTTCCCCTCTGCTTTTTTCTCCCCAAATCCCCTGGTACATAGTTGTATATTTTAGCTATGGGTCCTTCTAGTTGTGGCACGTGGGACGCCACTTCAACATGGCCTAATGAGCGGTGCCATGTCCATGCCCAGGATCCAAACCCTGGGCCGCCGAAGCGGAGTGTGAACTTAACCACTCGGCCATGGAGCCGGCCCCTCTACTCCTTTTTTAAAGGGAGATTGGGGTTTTGAGAGGGAGAGATGTCCAGGCATCTGTGTGACTTGGTTATTCTTTCCTTATTGGAATTGCCTTTTCTCCAAGCATAGAGTGATTGTGATGTGGATTAAGGCTGCCCCCCAGGGAGAGAAGCCCAGGGCATCCTCACCTACAAGCCGATCTATATGACCAGATGCGTATCTAAAGTTATACGACCGCACAATAACCAGACCCCATCTGCCCTGAAACCATTTAATGACTTTTTACATCATCTTTTCTTTTTTCCAGTAAAAATAAGTCACATACCCGTGGCTTATAAATTTAGCCCTAACCCTCAACTCAGGGCAGCAGCAGGAGCTCTGACTGCCCATGGGTCCTGTCCCCATGCTATTCCGTACTATTCTCTAAATAAAAGAGCACCACTGCCAG